GAGGGCGTCGTCTACTACTCTAGGGAATGGAATGATGGTGAGGGCGCCTTCTGCTACTCTGGGGAATGGAATGATGGAGAGGGCGTCGTCTACTACTCTAGGGAATGGAATGATGGTGAGGGCGCCTTCTGCTACTCTGGGGAATGGAATGATGGAGAGGGCGTCGTCTACTACTCTAGGGAATGGAATGATGGTGAGGGCGCCTTCTGCTACTCTGGGGAATGGAATGATGGAGAGGGCGTCGTCTACTACTCTAGGGAATGGAATGATGGTGAGGGCGCCTTCTGCTACTCTGGGGAATGGAATGATGGAGAGGGCGTCGTCTACTACTCTAGGGAATGGAATGATGGTGAGGGTGTCTTCTGCTACAATGGGCCATTTTCAGGCAGTATAACCTCTACCTACCAACAGCATTTTAAAATGTTGATGGCTTGCTCTGGGTTTCTGACTTTCACACTCCTAATAGAGAAAACAACAAAATTCTTCTTTGGTCACACATCATTCTTCATCTAGAAATATGGAGCTAAAACACACCAAGGAGGAAAAAAAAAAAGGGACAATGACCCCAAAAAAAAGATAATTGTCACCTTGCTTTTCTATCCCCCTCCGATCACTCACTGATGGGTAATAAGTAGACAAATAATGGTGATAAATAAATAGTTGGATTAGTATAATCCCTGAAAACCTGATACTCCTATAATATGCCACTGATCTGGGATTATCCATATGAATAATACCACGTCCTGACATTAACCCTTACCATACCCATGTGCTGATAGGTTCCAGCATTGTATTGTACTTCCTCCAGGTCATTTGTTAGATGTTGTTTAGTTATAACATTCAGTCTTCATCTGGATATTATATTCATCTTCGCGTTTCCAGTTGAACTGACCACAAAACATAAAACTGGAAAGTCAATTTAGAAAAACAGCAACATGTTGACCGTGTTCCCCCTTGAAGATCTTCATTACAATGCCCGGGTAGAGGTGAATGTGCCCACAGGGTGGTATGCTGAATACCCAAACACTACCGGCATGCGACTGTTCATATTGCGTTCCTCCAGTCACTCCAGATATGTTGTGTCCCTCAGACCTTTCACCATTTTTGTTGACCCTCAATGGACCCATTCTATCTTTAGATTCAATTAGATTAATTGTTGTCAGAATAATTCAGATACATTGCTGCCTGTCTCTGGCCTTGGTTCCATCAGATACATTGCTGCCCGTCTCTGGCCTTGGTTCCATCAGATACACAGTTGCCAGTCTCTGGACTCCCATCAGATACACTGTTGCCAGTCTCTGGACTCCCATCAGATACACTGTTGCCAGTCTCTGGACTCCCATCAGATACATTGTTGCCAGTCTCTGGACTCCCATCAGATACACTGTTGCCAGTCTCTGGACTCCTATCAGATACATTGTTGCCATTATATCCAGCCCTGCAGTCACTTCCAGTTCCAGTCTAATCAGCTAACATGCTATTGAGCAACCTAATAACTCGTCATGTCCTGTGACCGGGAGGAGCGAGAGGCGAGACAATCATTCCTGATGTCTCAGCCATGGACAGCACTATAGAGGAGCCGTGTGGGTACCAGGCCTCAAGGATGAAGATGATCAGAGCGCAGAATCATTAACCGATGGAAATCCTTCTACAAACAAGACGTCAAGTCAGAGATTTTCACTGGTGAAGCCGCCGCAGGAAGCGCAGAGCAGAACCGGCTTGTTGTAATCTAGTTTAAGAGGCCATTATGGTGAGGCCTGGTCCGTATGAAGCCTCCCACCTCCATCCTTCCATAGTACACAGACCTCTCCCTCCGCTCTCATTATCATCACAATAAACACACACACCGCAATGAGACACACTGATTACCTCTCCATTATTCATGGGATCATCAAATATTAATGTAACACATAACCCCATGCACAACGCAGACCGCTATCATAGTACATAGCGCCATGTGATAGGCACAGCCACCAATAGGATTATAGATAGAACTGTAGAATACAGGACTCCATTACTAAGAATCAATGGGTCGCCCATCAACAAATATAACAAATGCTAAAACAAGAAACATTATATCCCCGGACTGAGCAGATTTATTAAATAAGAACTATTTTCAGGAGGAAAACACACATTTTACGTCCCGACATTACAATGTAGCACTAATAGAAATCACCACACATATGTACTGTAATAAACATTCCATATCCTTGAAGTATCAGTCCTTGTCATAAAAATCCCACCATATACCGTACCATAGAGTGTATAGAATCAGAACCTGCTCTGACATACACAACAACCTAAACCACATAAAATTAGGGTAAAAACTGCAATTCCAGAAATAATAAAACACACAAAATAAATACATTACACAAATATTGTGTATAATAAAGATGGACAGGAAGCCCCAGATGTGTCACTTCTGATAACACCGAGTGCAATCATAATATTAGAGTACAGAATAAGACAATTGTAATTCTACCAGACACAGTATACACAATGATAAAACTACAGCAGATAATAAACACAATCATAGTACTACACCGCAACACAAGGATACTCCACAGTATACAAGAATGCAGTGATAGTAATAATAAGGCATTCCATGATACAATCATAATTCTACAGCATTAGTAGTACTGCAATTGTGTTATTACACAATTGCAGTACTACACCACAACAAAACCACAATACAGTATACAAGAATACAGTGATAGTAATAAGGCATTCCATGACACAATCATACAGTATATAACACAAGCATAGTACCACAACACAAGAATAGTCTACAGTATACAAGAATGCAGTGATAGTAATACAGCATTCCATGATACAATCATAGTTCTACAGCATTAGTAGTGTAGTACTGCGATTGTGTTATTACACAGTTGCAGTACTACACCACAACAAGACCACAATACTATAGTATACAAGAATGCAGTGATATTATTATTAATAATAGGGTATTCCACGATACAATCATACAGCATATAATAACACAATCATACACCACAACACAAGAACACCCTACAGTATACAGGAATGCAGTGATATTAATAAGGCTTTCCACAATACTACAGCATTAGTAGTAGTACTGTAATTGTGTTACAATCACAGTACTATTCCACAACAAAACTACAATACTCAGTATATAAAACTACAATACTCAGTATACAAGAATGCTAATAAGGCATTCCATGATACAATCATTATACTACAGCATACAATTAGAGAACTACACCACAACAAAACCGCAATACTCTATACAGTATACAAGAATGCAGCCATATTAATAAGGCATTCCATGATATAATCATACAGCATATAATAAAACACAATCATTGTACTATACCACAACACAAGAATGCATAATACAATCATATAACTACACCACAAAACAAGAACACTATACAGGAATGAAGTGATAATAGGGCATTTCATGATGCAATCATAATACTACAGCATTAGTAGTACTGTAATTGTGTTATTACACAATCACAGTACTACACCACAGTAAAACCACAATACTCTACACAGCATGCAAGAATGCTAATAAGGTATTCCATGCTACAATCATAATACTACAGCATACAACACAATAAACTGCTACAACAATGTAATAAATAATACTACAGAACACAACAGTCATAATAGTACACCACACAGCAATCATAATTCTACAGAATATAATAACACAATGATAGAACAACACGACAAAGCAACAATACTCTACAAGATACAGGCATACAGTCATAGTAATACAGCGTTCCATGAGACAGACAATCATAATACTACACCGCAGTGACAGCACCACAGCATAGAATAACACTGCCATAGTACAGCACCACACAGTAATACAATAATACTGCTACAGCATGCATGCAAATTATAATACTACATCATATAAAACACACCAGCATATCATAGAGTTATCATTCTATGATAGAAGGCAATGCAGCCATCATAATACACCACCATAATAGTAATGTAATCATAATATTACACGCCACACGTCAGTGCAATCCTAATATAACATCATATAGTAATGCAATCACCATACTACAGCATATAAAACAATGACAACAGTACACAATACAATAACAATAATAATAATATTAATAATACACCATCACAAATCAATGCAATCAATCCATAAAGCGATCATCACACCATAATGCAATGTATAATGTTACAATGATAATACAATGCTGCAGCCATGACACTGCCCCCAGATACAATGTAACACAATGACAGTCCTACAACACACAGCGATGTGATATCCGTCCGATCATACCCCCCGATCCTCATACACACAGCGTTGGCTAGCACTGGGGTGAAGCCGGCTAATAATGAAGTCAGATCTGTGATCACAGGCAGTGCATGGAGACGTGTGTCATGGTGATCCCAGCACTCACCCTCCAGCAGCAGCTGCACCATCCGGGTGATGTGTCCGCTCTGAGCTCCCTGCTCACACTGCTGCTGGGGGGGCACCCGGGCAGAACACGCCCCTCTGAGACATAGGCACGCCTCTTCACTCTCTCACTGAACAACGCCACGCCCACCACAGCAAGGAACCTGTCGGCTACGCCCTCTTACTAGAAAACCTCCCCTAGCTAAAATAAAGCCCGCCCCTGTTCTTCAGGAGCACCTCCTCTATTAAAGTCTCCGCCCATATTAAATATAGATTCCACGCCCCTTGCTAGCAGTAAAGACTAGCTGCAAGACCACGCCTCTTCCACAGTAGACGCCCCAAAGCTCCACCTGTCGGAGATACCCCGCCCGCTCATTCACAATAGACACAAACCACGCCCTTGCCGCGTCGGGCTTTCTCCAATGAGCGGCTCCGGTGGTCGTTGCTGTGGTAACCTCAGTGGAACAGGGCGGCGTGGTGACGGGATCCGCCCTTGAGTTGATTGGCAGGAGGGCCAAGCGAGCTGGTTGCCATAGGAACGAGGGAGCACCTGTGCCATCGGCCCTGCTTACCATCTGAGCCCCGCGCCAGCCAGGTAATACAGACCCCCGATATTGTTACATTGTATCATTGTGCCAGGCGGACCCCCATAGTGTTACATTGTATCATTGCGTCAGGCATACACTCCCCCATAGTGTTACATTGTGCCAGGCAGACCCCCCATAGTGTTACATTGTATCATTGTGCCAGGCAGACCCCCCATAGTGTTACATTGTATCATTGTGCCAGGCAGACCCCCCATAGTGTTACATTGTATCATTGTGCCAGGCAGACCCCCCATAGTGTTACATTGTATCATTGTGCCAGGCAGACCCCCCATAGTGTTACATTGTATCATTGTGCCAGGCAGACCCCCCATAGTGTTACATTGTATCATTGTGCCAGGCAGACCCCCCATAGTGTTACATTGTATCATTGTGCCAGGCAGACCCCCCATAGTGTTACATTGTATCATTGTGCCAGGCAGACCCCCCATAGTGTTACATTGTATCATTGTGCCAGGCAGACCCCCCATAGTGTTACATTGTATCATTGTGCCAGGCAGACCCCCCATAGTGTTACATTGTATCATTGTGCCAGGCAGACCCCCCATAGTGTTACATTGTATCATTGTGCCAGGCAGACCCCCCATAGTGTTACATTGTATCATTGTGCCAGGCAGACCCCCCATAGTGTTACATTGTATCATTGTGCCAGGCAGACCCCCCATAGTGTTACATTGTATCATTGTGCCAGGCAGACCCCCCATAGTGTTACATTGTATCATTGTGCCAGGCAGACCCCCCATAGTGTTACATTGTATCATTGTGCCAGGCAGACCCCCCATAGTGTTACATTGTATCATTGTGCCAGGCAGACCCCCCATAGTGTTACATTGTATCATTGTGCCAGGCAGACCCCCCATAGTGTTACATTGTATCATTGTGCCAGGCAGACCCCCCATAGTGTTACATTGTATCATTGTGCCAGGCAGACCCCCCATAGTGTTACATTGTATCATTGTGCCAGGCAGACCCCCCATAGTGTTACATTGTATCATTGTGCCAGGCAGACCCCCCATAGTGTTACATTGTATCATTGTGCCAGGCAGACCCCCCATAGTGTTACATTGTATCATTGTGCCAGGCAGACCCCCCATAGTGTTACATTGTATCATTGTGCCAGGCAGACCCCCCATAGTGTTACATTGTATCATTGTGCCAGGCAGACCCCCCATAGTGTTACATTGTATCATTGTGCCAGGCAGACCCCCCATAGTGTTACATTGTATCATTGTGCCAGGCAGACCCCCCATAGTGTTACATTGTATCATTGTGCCAGGCAGACCCCCCATAGTGTTACATTGTATCATTGTGCCAGGCAGACCCCCCATAGTGTTACATTGTATCATTGTGCCAGGCAGACCCCCCATAGTGTTACATTGTATCATTGTGCCAGGCAGACCCCCCATAGTGTTACATTGTATCATTGTGCCAGGCAGACCCCCCATAGTGTTACATTGTATCATTGTGCCAGGCAGACCCCCCATAGTGTTACATTGTATCATTGTGCCAGGCAGACCCCCCATAGTGTTACATTGTATCATTGTGCCAGGCAGACCCCCCATAGTGTTACATTGTATCATTGTGCCAGGCAGACCCCCCATAGTGTTACATTGTATCATTGTGCCAGGCAGACCCCCCATAGTGTTACATTGTATCATTGTGCCAGGCAGACCCCCCATAGTGTTACATTGTATCATTGTGCCAGGCAGACCCCCCATAGTGTTACATTGTATCATTGTGCCAGGCAGACCCCCCATAGTGTTACATTGTATCATTGTGCCAGGCAGACCCCCCATAGTGTTACATTGTATCATTGTGCCAGGCAGACCCCCCATAGTGTTACATTGTATCATTGTGCCAGGCAGACCCCCCATAGTGTTACATTGTATCATTGTGCCAGGCAGACACCCCCATAGTGTTACATTGCATCAGGCAGACCCCCCCCATAGTGTTACATTGTATCGTTGTGTGCATGACGTCACAGGGAGCCTCTGATATATATAATGTAATTTAAAGGGAATCTCTATAATCTCGTGAAGGGGCGGAGCAAAGACACAGCATTTGTCCGGGTGAGGGCCCATTCGCAGCAATACATGCGTTTCATCAAAGTACATCATGCATTTTTACCAAAGTTGTATGCCCTGCATTAAAATGTAACGCATTGTAAGATGTATTTTATGTGCGCCTCCTTCCTTTTCATTTTCGCAATCTTCATGTAAAATACAGACATGCGGCATTGCTTTTTTGGTGCGCTTTCAGTGCGTTTTCCATGACTATGATGTAACATGCGTTTTTTTTACCAAAACACACAAAAGATGCAGACGGGCTCTGATGAGAACAGATTGAGGACCCGTTTATATCTATGCGTGCCCTCCTGAGACCTCTCACAGGCCTCCTGAGACCCCACACAGCCCTCCTGAGACCTCTCACAGCCCTCCTGAGACCTCTCACAGCCCTCCTGAGACCTCTCACAGGCCTCCTGAGACCCCACACAGCCCTCCTGAGACCTCTCACAGCCCTCCTGAGACCCCTCACAGCCCTCCTGAGACCTCTCACAGCCCTCCTGAGACCCCACACAGCCCTCCTGAGACCTCTCACAGCCCTCCTGAGACCCCTCACAGCCCTCCTGAGACCTCTCACAGCCCTCCTGAGACCCCTCACAGGCCTCCTGAGACCCCACACAGCCCTCCTGAGACCTCTCACAGCCCTCCTGAGACCCCTCACAGCCCTCCTGAGACCTCTCACAGCCCTCCTGAGACCCCACACAGCCCTCCTGAGACCTCTCACAGCCCTCCTGAGACCCCTCACAGCCCTCCTGAGACCTCTCACAGCCCTCCTGAGACCCCTCACAGCCCTCCTGAGACCCCACACAGCCCTCCTGAGACCTCTCACAGCCCTCCTGAGACCCCACACAGCCCTCCTGAGACCCCACACAGCCCTCCTGAGACCTCTCACAGCCCTCCTGAGACCCCACACAGCCCTTCTGAGACCCCTCACAGCTCTCCTGAGACCCCGCACAGCCCTCCTGAGACCCCGCACAGCCCTCCTGAGACCTCTCACAGCCCTCCTGAGACCCCTCACAGCCCTCCTGAGACCCCTCACAGCCCTCCTGAGACCTCTCACAGCCCTTCTGAGACCTCTCACAGGCCTCCTGAGACCCCACACAGCCCTCCTGAGACCTCTCACAGCCCTCCTGAGACCCCTCACAGCCCTCCTGAGACCCCACACAGCCCTCCTGAGACCCCGCACAGCCCTCCTGAGGCCCCTCACAGCCCCCCTGAGGCCCCTCACAGCCCTCCTGAGACCCCTCACAGCCCTCCTGAGACCCCGCACAGCCCTCCTGAGACCCCGCACATCCCTCCTGAGACCCTGCACATCCCTCCTGAGACCCCTCACAGCCCGCCTGAGACCCCACACAGCCCTTCTGAGACCCCTCACAGCCCTCCTGAGACTCCTCACAGCCCTCCTGAGACCCTCCACAGTCCACCTGAGACCCCGCACAGCTCTCCTGAGACCCCTCACAGCCCTTCTGAGACCCCTCACAGCCCTTCTGAGACCTCGCACAGCTCTCCTGAGACCCCTCACAGCCCTCCTGAGACCCCTCACACCCTCCTGAGACCCCGCACATCCCTCCTGAGACCCCTCACAGCCCTCCTGAGACCCCTCACATCCCTCCTGAGACCCCGCACAGCCCTCCTGAGGCCCCTCACA